CCCTTGGGAAGATCGCCTCCCTGCTGGGCGTGGAGGGCGGCCACAGCATGGACTCGTCCCTGGCGGTGCTCCGGGCCTTCTACAGGCAGGGCGTCCGGTACATGACACTCACCCACAGCTGCAGCAATCCGTGGTGAGTCAGGTCGGTCATGCCTGGTGTTGGCTAAGCCTGGAATGTCGGCGAACATTTGAATCGAAAGGGATTATTTGGACAGGCAAATGTACAAAAACTTAGTTGAACACCTTAGACAAAATATATAAAAGTTTCTCCATTGATCATATATTTGTATAATGAAAACGTTATTTAAAAAATAGATGTGGATAATTCATGGTTATATATTTACAAACGTCGAGCGTCAGTGTTTCAGTTCCATTTTTTTGTTTTTCAGTTCAGTTTTCCATCGCAAAGTTCACACTGCCACACTCTCTAATCTACTATAGTAAAGCAGCTGGAATGGAAACGTCAAAAGAAATTAACGTAGTTCATCTACCAAAGTCTGCCATTTTTTTCCAGGCCAGACAGTTCTGTAGTCGAGGAACAGACAGACAGCAAGCAGCTAGAGTTCGATGGTCTCACAGCCTGGGGAGAGGTCAGTGCTGTTCGTACCGTTTTATTGAAGTATTTCTTCTGCTGACGAAATGGAACGGTGGTCTCTTGCAGCTGGATATGGATGTTCTCTTTATAACTAAGCCATCGATTGTAAATCTCCAAATTTTAATGACGATATATCAAAGCCACATGTGGACCAAAACATAAGTAAAAACTAAACAACTGCTAAGGACAGACTGATAATCGCAAGATATTGACCCCAAACACCCAATTCAGCTCGTCGTAAAGGAGATGAACCGGCTGGGGATGCTGGTCGACATCTCCCACGTGGCGTCCCCGACCATGCACGATGTCTTGGATGTCACCCGCGCCCCCGTCATCTTCTCGCACAGCGACGTCCGCGCCCTCTGCGTCATCACCAGGAACATTCCGGACGACGTGCTTAAGAGGCTGGTAAGGAGGGGCACGGCGGTAAGGGGAAGTTTTCCGCGGCCCGGATTTATCCTGTTTCATTTTCTTACCCAAATATTACAGCGTTTTTCGATTTGATTGTATTTCGATTATGGTGATAATAATAATAATAATGTAACTGTAAAAAAAAAAGAAAAATCACCCTCAGCCTGAGAATGGCGGCGTCGCACTAGTCAATTTCTACAGCTACTTCCTCTCCTGTTCGGGCGACTCGACCATCCAGGACATCGTAGGCAAGTATTTCACAGATTTGGTCACACTAGAAATCTATTTACTTCACGACATAAGACCGCAGAATCATGCACAATTTTGCTTCTTTGATTTCTGGGCATTCATTTTTATGTTTCTATTCGAGGAGTGTCTCGTAACCTTTGGATTTCTGTGTTTAGTATAGTACTAGTTATGCTGTAGCGAGTGATTTGTATTCTTGTCAAGCAAGAGTAAAAGACAAGCAGATACTTGAATCTCACGTTCCTTTCAGACAATATCAACCATATTCGAAACGTCGCGGGAATAGACCATGTTGGCATCGGGAGCGATTTTGATGGCATCAATTCGTGAGTAAGAACACGCGCGCGCACACACACACACACACACACACACACACACACACACACACACACACACACACATGTAGTAATAGGTGAATGAGAACTCTTAAATTACGCTATTACTGTTGATTTACTCATATGGCCGAGTGGATACCTGAGTTTAATAGCAAGATGACATTAGAGGGCCTTAAACTATCTGATAAAGCAATAAGCAGTCTGTTTGAGATATTTTGATGAAACTGAAAAATTCAAACATCTCGTTTATATTTCAGTACTTTTTTATTGTCGTGAGTAACAGAAAATAGAAATCCCGTTGCAGCGTCCCCGAAGGCCTGGAAGATGTGAGTAAATACCCCTATCTATTCGCCGAGTTGCTGTTGGATCCGCGCTGGACCGACGAAGACCTCAAGAAGCTGGCGGGTCTGAACGTCATCCGGGTCCTGCGGGAGGCCGAGAGGGTGAGGCGCTTCTCTGACTGATGGATGGGGGAAAGGGATAAAGAAACTGACGATGGGTGACTGGTTCATGTTTGCGCATGCATAGAACTGACGAGATTCTAACTTAACTGTGTGCTCTGCTGTTGGCTCGAAAGGCTTGCTTTAATTACTAAATACAATGTCGTCTTCATTTATTCATATGATAATCAAGGTTAAATGATACACAATAAATCGGGGAAAAATGCTGATCATCACAACTAACACTAATTATCATACCCAGCATACATGTATAGTAATCCAGGCCTTCAAATCCCGCAAACAGGTGCGCGACGAATTGGCCGGCGAAGTTCCCTGGGATCAGTTCATCCCTCCCGAGGACACCGAAGGACACCTCAACTGCTCCAATCCCTGGTCTTAGAGGCGGCAGTTGTCAGAGGGCAATGAGATATTTCCATTGCATACCACTTTAATAGTAAAATGTATACAGAAAACTGGTTCTTTTTGGTGTATCGTCCTTTTCATGTTTCATTTTGGCCGAAGTGAATAAGAAGTAACAACAGAGGAGGAATTTGTTATTTTTTGTGTTATATCACGAATGAATCTAACTAATAGCTACCATGAAATACTATGAAACATGGGTCTGTTACCTGAAAAAAGAAACAGAAAGAGAGAAAAAAAGAGTTCAGTAGAAAATTATCTTTCACAAGAAACAGTGATTACAGTTCATTGAGGTTTACTATGATGTTTCACTGATGAGATTTCGATGGTCATACACACTCACTAACGATGATATATCCACATAACTTTATCATATCATATCCACATTATGATAATATTTGGTTGATAAGTTTTCAATATCCTTCAAAGGTAAATGAATGTATAAGTTATCCATCCCATTTTTTTCATAGAAAGTGTTTAAACGTTTAGAGGGTAACTAGTGTATTATGGAACTGCATAGTGGCACAGCAATAATGCATATGGAAGATAGAGATAGATAAATAGATAGATATATAGGTAGGTAGGTAGGTAGGTAGGTAGAGAGAGAGAGAGAGCGAGCGAGCGAGAGAGAGAGAGAGAGAGAGAGAGAGAGAGAGAGAGAGAGAGAGAGAGAGAGAGAGAGAGAGAGAGAGAGAGAGAGAGAGAGAGAGAGAGAGAGAGAGAGAGAGAGAGAGAAAGAGAAAGAGAGAGAGAAAGAGAGAGAGAGAGAGAGAGAGAGAGAGAGAGAGAGAGAGAGAGAGAGAGAGAGAGAGAGAGAGAGAGAGAGAGAGAGAGAGAAAGGGAGAGAGAGAGAGAGAGAGAGAGAGAGAGAGAGAGAGAGAGAGAGAGAGAGAGAGAGAGAGAGAGAGAGAGAGAGAGAGAGAGAGAGAGAGAAAACAGTAATATAGATAGACTGATAGATAGATATAGATAGATAGAGGTAGATAAATAGATAGAAATATGTAGATAGAGATAGATAGAGGTAGATAAATAGATATAAATATATAGATAGAGATATATATAGATAGAGATGTATAGATAGCTATATGGATAGATAGATATAGATAACCAGATAGATAGAGATAGACAGATCGATAAAGACAAAAAGATGGTCAGGATGCCATGAGCTGTCTCAATGTCGCTCGCAGGCGACCCTCTTTTATGCAGGTCTTCATGGGGAATTGACAAAGGGTTGCAAGTACTAGGAGGTAGAAGTGTTTGTATAAACAGAGCGACGCCACAAGGCGGAACATATGTGGATATTACATCCGGTGTTGTATCGAGTAGATGGAAGTAATGTTACTGTAATAAGATATATCTAAAAACTATTATATGTATGGCGTGTGCTGGTGGTGTACCACTTACAGCATATATGTATATATATATATATATATATATATATATATATATATATATATATATATATATATATATATATATATATATATATATATATATATATATATATATGTATATATATATATATATATATATATATATATATATATATATATATATATATATATATATATATGTGTGTGTGTGTGTGTGTGTGTGTGTGTGTGTGTGTGTGTGTGTGTGTGTGTGTGTGTGTGTGTGTGTATATACATATATATATATATATATATATATATATATATATATATATATATATATATATATATATATATATATATATATATATATATATATATGCATACATATACATATAGTATATCTATCTGTCTATCAATATATATACATTTATCAATCTATATCTATCTATCAATCTATATACGCATATATGTGCATGTATATGTATGTATCTTATCATTCTGCGCCATCACCGATGCGGTGTCTGACGACTACTTGGCGCCATGTTTTATGTTGTCAAGCTCTGTCCCAGAGGTATCGAAGTGTGTGATTAAAATTGTTAAGGAATACTTTTCTCGGTCTACCTCTAGCTTGGTTGCCTTCTATTTTACAGCTTTGACTAAGGTTTCCTAAAGTGTCTTTACGGATTGCATGTCCGAGGAATCTGAGTTGTCGCGCTCGGATCAATTCTAGAAGCTCGCGTCCCTGTCCGATTTTTCTGAGGATCTCATTGGACGCTCGGTCAGTGTAGGGAGAGCGCAACATCCTGCGGTAGAACTACATTTCTGCAGCCTCTATATTGCGCCTTGTTTCAGCCTTCATTGTATAGGACTTGCAAAGATATAGGAGAGTCAACCATACGAAGGTTTTAATGAGTCTGAGTTTTATTTGTATTGAGAGCTTGTGATCTGTTAGGATGTTCCACATTTTCAATTCTGCGTCTGATATATATATATATATATATATATATATATATATATATATATATATATATATATATATATATGTGTGTGTGTGTGTGTGTGTGTGTGTGTGTGTGTGTGTGTGTGTGTGTGTGTGTGTGTGTGTGTATGTGTGTGTGTGTGTGTGTATGTGTGTGTGTGTATGTGTATGTGTGTGTGTGTGTGTGTGTGTGTGTGTGTGTGTGTGTGTGTGTGTATGTGTGTGTGTGTGTGTGTGTGTGTGTGTGTGTGTGTGTGTTTTGAATTGGTCTGGTCTGTAATGTATTAACAAAGATGATATGCTATTCACAACGGGTAAGCATCTTAGTCATTTTTAAACAATAATATTGAAGAAGAAGAGATGAATTCGAGGGCAAACTTTCAAGCCTTTCTCATGGACAAAACGGACAAGATTATACTAAGTATCAAGACTGCTGGTCTTTCACGACCTTTTGATAGGGAAATGACTATATGAGAGAGACATCAGCCAAGTGTAACAAAACATTAATTACAACAGTACTTTTCAAGCCTCCGGGCTAGTACAGTGGTAACGTGTCAGCCTTTAATCCGAGGGGTCGGCGGTTCGCGCCCCGCCCAGGCGCGAGAAGTTGCAATTGCCGCCTGGAGATCACTGCTGTGGCTGGGTACCACGGCGGGTAAGGACTAATCTCATCCGAGTCAGCACTTGCTGACACACTGTTAGCGAGTCGACATTAGTCGGCACAGGCCGGGCTCCCCCATAGCCCGGGCGAGGCTCAGCTTCGCATATCGGACTTATCCTTCGTACTTTTCAATAGTACTTTGGAGGTGTAATAGCAATTGTGTTCAACCCGACAAATTATCTAAATCATCAACAAGACAGCCACTAGAAGCCAATATATCCTTTGGAATAAGCTCTGGTCTGCTATGGAATTCAAATCTTTTTATGTTCATGTATATGTGTGGATGGGAATACATGAGAGTGCGTGTGTGGATGGATCTATATAATTATGAACGGGTGGTGTGAACGGTGAGTCTGCTTCCCTTTCAAGTGGATTATTGGTGCATTGACTGTATTCTTTACTTGTAACATAAAAACAGAAATACACAGGTGAAGAATGCAGTCACTTAATTAATATATAACACACACACACACACACACACACACACACACACACACACACACACACACACACACACATATATATATATATATATATATATATATATATATATATATATATATATATATATATATATAAATGTATATATATGTGTGTTTGCGTGTGTAGATATATATGTAGAAATAGACACACACATATGCACGCATATATATATATATATATATATATATATATATATATATATATATATATATATATATATATATATATATATATATATGTGTGTGTGTGTGTGTGTGTGTGTGTGTGTGTGTGTGTGTGTGTGTGTGTGTGTGTGTGTGTGTGTGTGTATGTGTGTGTGTGTGTGTAAGCATGAATGTATAGATATATGCATCTATACATAACCCAACGTCCCTTCATAGCGAAAGACAGTGAGCCCCACGAAGCCTCGCATTTCTTTCGCTTCTACAATGCACAGAGAGCGGCGCTGTCGACTCTGGCCAATAGTCCTGCAGTCACTCCCGCAACAAATGCAAGAAGAAAAGACACAACGTAGTTGTTTTATATTTTTGTTAATTCTTTGGTGATTGTGACAGTCACAAGGTTTGTCATATTAGTCATTACTCTTAGACTTTGCGTGTTTTATGTAAAGAAGCTACAGAATGAATACTACGTATGTGCCAGAATGTCATGATTTACTTAGCTATTTTTATATACTTCATAGACAAATTATGTGATGCCTAGGCACATACACAAACACATACATACATACAAACAAACAAGCACACACATATATGCGCGCGCACACACACACAGACACACACAGACACACACACACACACACACACACACACACACACACACACACACACACACACACACACACACACACACACACACACACACACACACATATATATATACAGACACAAAAAAAAGAGAGAGAAAAACAATCATGCACATGAACACGATTACTTTCATGAATCGCAGGTCAAAATACCAACCAGCGAGGAAATCTCTGCTTTCATTGTGTTCCCTCTACGTAAGAAAAGTAACTGACGATAATAACATGGTCAAGATGAAGAAACAGAGGAGGAAAAACTGAGCGAAAGTATAGACTCGAAAAAAATAAATCTGTGGGGAAAAATAATGAACTGAAATGGCTGTAGTTCATGCTTTATTAAATAAGAAGCTGTCATAAAGTAATTATTTGCCAAAGAAATCCACATAGAAAAAAATACTGGAGTAAAAGTAAATCCGTAAGTGACCTTTGTGGAATCGTCTCAGCATCACCTTTTTATGGAATTTAAACCCTAAATCATCTCTTTTCTTACAAGGAACTACTAAAAGAATATTTTTTTTACTCTGGCTACTAATTAAGAAGTGAAATTGCTTCGATAGTATATGAAGTTGTAATAGAAATAGTGGGTTCTGTAGTAATAGTGATATCAAGGGCAGAAATTACAGTAATATTATAGTAATATTATATATCAGTAATCATCGAGTTACCAAGAGTAACATAAGTAGTAATAATAGGAATACCAATTCTGGTAGAATCACAAACAATGCATTATTCGAATATTCATGACTTCTCATTTATCCAAATTGCAATATATC